ATTCTTGCTTCCCCCTTAAAAACAATTCTTTCCTCCCCTCCCCTTTTATTTTTCCCCCCCCCCCCCCCCAACGAATGCCACGGAGTGAGGATGCTTGAATTCTTGGGAAGCAACGAGCTGATGGTGTTGAACGGTAGGAGGGAATGCGATAAGCCGGAGTTCACCAGGCAAAGGGCAGTTTGCAACGAATAGTCGTTCCTCGACTATATCCTGGTAGATAGGGGGAGCACACAGACCCCAGAGCTGCACGTAAGTGCGATAGATGTGGGTTCGACCGACCACTTCCTCATATTAGCAAACATCGACCGATCTAGAAAGACGGAGAGTAAGAAACAGAGGAAAGTGTTCCGGTGGAAAGTAGAGCGTTTGGGAGACGAGGGGACACGGGATGAATTCCAGAAGGGACTGGCTGGTAGTGTAGAACCCTTCAGGAAACTGCTGAGAAGCGTCGAAGACGGACAGGTAGACGTACAAGCAGCAGGGGACAGGGTGATTGAAGGATGGGAGTCCATAGTGAACACAACGGCAGAGAGAGTAGTGGGAAAGAAGGTGGTACGATGTGGGGTATCGGTTAAGTGGTGGGATGACGAGCTGAAAGAAGAAATAGGGTAGAGAAGTATTCAAGCAGTACCTGAATGAGGGGTCTGAGGAGAGTTGGTAAAAGTACAGGGCCAAGAGGAAACAGGTGAAGGGACTAGTGAAAAAGAAGAAAAAGTGCATTTGGGACGAAGTAGTGCAGAAGGCCAACGGAGGCCTGGAGGGGAACGCCAAGCAAATGTGGGAAGGGATTTGTGGGATGGTAAAAAAGACCGCGCAAGGGGGGGATACAGGGGTAGCAACTTTGCGAGGTGTGAACGGTGGACTAGTCAGCAGTGGGAAGGGAAAAAGGGAAGTTCTAGCAGGACACTACAAGAGACTTGGAGTGCCTTCGGAGAATGAACTTTTGACCAAGTGTTTGAGAAGGAGGTGGACGCATGGGCCCAGAAAGAAGAAGAGACATCGAAGGCAGACGTTGGGAACGTAGAACTAGAAAAGGAGTTCACTGAGGACGAGGTTGAGGCGTGTGTGAACAAGCTGCAGTGCCACAAAGCAGCAGGGGCGGATGGGATAGTCAACGAGTTAATGAAGTTTGGGGGGAAGGGGGTGATCCAGCTGATGGTACATCTGTACAACTGGGTGTGGAAAAACGAGTATGCGCCAAGTAGATGGAGGGAAGGAGTGGTTGTGAACTTGTTTAAGAAAGGAGACAAGACTGACCCAGGAAACTACAGGGGTATCACACTGTTGAACACAGTAGGAAAAGTGTTTTGTAAGCTGCTGAACGATAGGATAGTGGGAGTATTGGAGAAGGAACGTAGCATTAGTGAGGGCCAGGCAGGTTTCCGACAGAAGAGGGGGTGCGTAGACCACGCATTCACGGTAGGGAGAATCATCCAAGGTAGAAAGAGGGCGGGAAAGCCGACATACTGCTTCTTCCTGGACGTGAAAAAGGCATACGATACCGTATGGAGAAATGGGCTGTGGAAACAATTGTCCAAGTACGGGATCAAGGGGAAAATATGGAGAGTGCTGAAGAAGATGACAGAGTGTACGAAAAGCGCGGTCATGCTAGACGGAGAACTGTCTCAATTCTTCGACATTGAGCAAGGGGTCCCACAAGGTTGCACGCTGTCCCTAACATTGTTCCAGGTGTTCATCAACGATCTGTTGGAAGTCGTAGAGGCAGTCCAGAAGGGAGTAAAAGTAGGGGACACGGAAACTTCGGTGTCAGGAATGCTGTTTGCGGATGATTTTGTTGGTATGTCGGACACCCCTGAGGGACTGCAACTACAAATTGACGCGGCGAAGAAGTTTACTGATACATGGAGATTATCTGCCAACGTTAAGAAGAGTGCCGTCATGGTGTGCAACGAGGTCAGGGAGGAACCAGTATAACATAGATGGAAGTGGGGGATCGAGGAGATTGCAGTAGTGGACCAGTACACATACCTCGGAGTAGAGATCGCAAAAGACTGCTCGTGGAATGCACACATGTCCAAGGTAGCGGAAAAGGGCAAGGCACGAGCAGGGAAGCTGCACCCAATACTCGCAAACCGGCACCTCGATACACGCATCAAATTGGCGGTTTTGAAGAGCGTAATCGTACCGCCGCTAGAGTCCGCCGGAGAAGTATGGGAAGGAAATAAGAAGGTAGTGAAAGAACTCGAGGCGGCGCAGATGAAAGCAGCGAAAATCATCCTAGGATGCTCCAAGCGCACAAGTAATGCAGCCGTCAGGGCAGAATTGGGGATCCAATCCCTACGGTCGGGAAGAGACGCAAGGAAGCTGACATGGTAGTATCGCATGTGCGGGATGGGAGAGGAGAGGTTGCCGAGAATAGTATGGGAGGCGAAGTGGGCAAACAAAAAGAAGGGTAGAAAACCCACGGAACGGGTCAAGGTTGTAGAGGACGTATGGAAGGGGTTAGACATCGACGAAGATGAAACGCTGGAAACGGAGGGTCCACAGGGGTTCAAGGAGAAGATATCTGTTGCTTGTGCCGAGAGAGAAGAACAGAATCTAAGGAAAGAAACCAAGGATAAGGAGGGTCTAGAAGTGTACGGAATGTTGAAAGAAGGAATAGGGTTCAAGGATTACCTACATGGACCAATGGATGCAGGGACAAAGCTTAAGGTCAAATTCAGGACCGGGGACATAGGCCTTCGAGAACGTCGACGAAGACATAGGACGGTAGACGACGAAGACGACAAGTTCAAATGTGATTGCGGCTTCGAATGCGAAGACCGTGTTCATGTACTCGCGGAATGTCCGTGGTACGAAGAGGAGAGGGAAGTGTACATGACTGAGCTGGGAAAAATACAAGGGACGTACAGGGAGATGTTTGAGGCATGGAATAGAGAGGAGAGGACGGTAGCTGTACTGGGGAGTAGGAAGTGGTTTGAAAAGGCGGGAAGGGATATCGTTAGGATAGACAGATTAGGGAAGACATTTTTGGGGCACCTTTGGCAAAGTAGGAAGGAACGATTGGCCATCGGTGATCGGTCCTGTGGGAACAATGCTCCGTCCTCTCGAGGACGCGTGGTCAATGGTCTAACCGCTAAGGCATGCAAAACATAAGAGTACACTCCCCCCCCCCCCACCCCAACCCCCACTAATTGCCCCCCCGCCCGCAACAGCGTCTTTCCTCACCCTCCACCCTGTGCCCGGCCTTGAGCTCGGCGAGCCTGTGCACCGCCGTCTCGACCCTGCCCAGCCCTTCCCAGTAGCACGACGCGTGGTCCACGGGCACCGGGCTGGACTCTTGCCCCGGCGGGGCCGCTTCCACCCTTGGGCGGTGTGCCGGCGGGCTGCGGCCGACCGCGCGGACCCGGACATCGTCGACGACGACGGCCCGTCCCTCCAGAACGAAGCCGAACTCCCTCCTGTTTGTTTTTTATTGTTTTCACGAGGATTTTGTGGGGGCGGGGGAGGGTGTGGGTACACGGGCGATCAACGTGCATGTTTCGGTTGTCGTACTGAAAGGGAAGGTGCACACGTAGAATGGAAAAATAAATACTTGTCTTGCGAGGTCGCTTGACGCATTGTTGCTGCTACTGTGTCTAATATTGCGTCCCCAAACCTGAAAAATGAAAAATACCCAAAACAATACCAAGCAACACTCCAAACCCAATATGAGCGGCAACCAAGACAGCGGAGGCCGGACTGTGACATACAGGCCATATGTATAGACGCCGGAGACGAGCTGCCCTCCTCCAGGTAGCGCTACGCAGTGCTGAAACTTTTGCCCCGGTTATAGTGGCACGTGCGTAGCATTCCTCCAAAAAGAGTCAGCATCGACCAAGGACACGAGGCCCAAAACTGCCACCACCCCCGAGGAAACCCCACCTCAAACTCACCTAAACCCCTCACCTGTACTGCCCGAAGAACGACTGCAGCGCGTCGTCCTCCCCTTCGCCGCCGCTCCCACTGCCGCCGGGCTCGGGCGCCTTGTGCGGAGGGGGCGACGCGGGTGTCATGAGGGCCGTGTCGGTCCCCTGGAAGCGGAGGTTCAGGTACGCCTGGCACCGCACGTCTTCGGGCCCGAAGCCCTGCTTCGCCAGGTCAGACCGGGCGGACTCTTCGAGGACGCGCACCTTCTCCCACACCTTCCTCACACAAAGAGGAAGAGGAAGAGGAAGAGGGACAGGATGACGAGGAGGCGCTATGTTGTTGGGGTAAGGGGTGCGAGATCTTTGGGGGGGGAGGGCGGTTTGGTGCCGCTATCCGCGTTGAGGGTAAGGGAACGGGCTCGGATGCTGAGTGCGCTGCGATAGGTCGCGGGGGGGCGCTTGCGAGAGGCGCGCCGTATGCGCCTTGAAAGATAAAAACTGTCCGCGGGGTAGATGGTAAGGTTGGGGTTGTG